ATATGACCAATAAACATTGAGGATGAGTCTTTTTTCCAATTACTTTGTTTGACTAGGTGTTTTAACAAAGAGTCCCATAGTTAAAAGATAGAATAACATACACATTCATTTGTACGTGTTACCCATGCAAAGGTTATACATAAACTAAGCAAGAAATCACAATCCCACCACACAACCCTGCCTCTCTCTTCTTCGCCGTTGGAGGAAGTCGGAGGTTATCGAAAATCCTCCGACCTTTCTCTCTTCCCATTCCCCCAGTTTCTTCTCAAATCGAATAATCGACATCTGAATTCCTCACATCCATTTCAATTTCCAACCCATTTCATCATTCGATTTTTTTATTAATCATTTTGGAAAACTCATATTAGAATTTCATTATATCTTCGTCCGGAGGAATCTTTTGGGATTTCCTAAGTGGAGAGTGTTCGTTTATCTGACGGATTGGAAAAATGGACGTGGTGGGGAAACCAGTGATGATGCCGGCCATCGATACCCTGTGCATCTGTTGTCCGGCAATGCGGCCGAGGTCGCGGCATCCCGTGAAGCGCTACAAGAAGTTGTTAGCGGATATATTTCCTCGGGCTCCGGTTAGTTAGATTTACACGCATATTGTGCTTAATTTTTTTTGTGATTTCTTGTTGAACGTGGAATTAAACTTGTGAATCAGAGATGAATTGGTTAACTGCTTCAGCTTTTCATCTTGAGTGGAGAAGCTTAAGCTTATTAATTTTGCAACCCAATACTTTCCCTAGTTGAGCAATCAAAGCTCCAGTAGAAGCCTTCAAATATGCAACCGTTGCTCTTAAAGATGGGAATAAGGAATCAATAGAAAAAAAATTGCACATTGATTTTATGATTCATTGAGCCCACATCTTGTTTGAAGTTCTTAATTTCTGTTTGTAAGTGGCTAATACCAATGCGGCAATGCCTGCCAGAAGTTAGTATAAATCTGACAGAGAGAATCTTATGACTCTAAGCTTCAAGTGTATTGATATTGTGGCGAGTTTCACTAAGATTAAGGACTTAATGTCAGGGAAAAGTTTGAGATTAAATTTAAGTTTTAAGAAAGTGCTCGGGAGGAAAATGGGCTTGCACACAGCTTCTGGATGGCGTCTTATCAAATCATGATCAATCTTAATCTTCTTTCTTAATCCATCAACCTTCATCTGAGTTAAAATCGACTCAAATCATCTTTTAAAAGCTGTCACACATCACTTCTGAAAGCTCCAAGGTTCAATGTTTCCGTGACTCCCTATGTTCATTGAAAAAATCTTTCTGTCATTTGGTGCATATATGAACTCAAGTTCTACATTAGCTGTGGAATGAGAATTTAGTTATGATCAGTTGGATAAGATTCACAGTTGTGCTTTCTAGATAATAAGAATCTTATTTTAGGCGGTTAAAGAGTCGACGAGTTTTACTTTATCACGTCTTTAATATTTATTAGTTATTACAATGGCGTCCTATTGTGTAAACCATAATGGTGCTTTGTTACTCTAATTGTTTCATTTTCATTGTTAGTTATTCAACAGTTGCTTTAGTCCAATTTCTCTCTCTAAGTGAAATGATGGCTGTGACCATTTACACAAGTTAGATCTGTCCTATATACATTTAACTCTTGCCTCTGGAATCCTGTCTTCTTTGCCACTGCAAAGTCTCTTTTAATGTATTTAAAGATTTCTTCATGTCTCTTTGATTACTGATATAGTGCTTGTTTGGTAGGGATTTTTGGGGGAATAATTGATTTTGAATAGTGATATGATGGGAAATGTGTAGTTGAAAACGAAGAAAAAATTATTGATGTGATGGAAAATATTATTTTATTGAAGGA